TAATTGGTAATACATGCAAATTAACATGAATTGTTGTAGAAATGAACTGTCGACGAAATGATTGTCGACGAAATGAATCAGACTCCATTTCGAATGCCCATTATTAGTTAACTAATGTAAACGTCGTGTAGACACAATGTATTTTCCCAAACATTAGGGAGTCTCTTTTAACACCGATCCTGATTCTATCAAACAACTTTCAACTAACACCTTTAACAGTTGGCTGGGGATTGGTCCTTTTCGATGTGCCTAACGAAAGAATTAGTTAGCGTGATTGGCGCCTATCGAGCCCACGCGAGCTAAGCAACTTAATATTCAAAACAATCCAAAATCGACGGATATTTTAAAGTTTTTGTTAAAAATTGACTATTATTATTCTATCCTATAATAACACCTATATTGTTACTCTCCGTGTAGTCACAAGATTCATATAAACCGATCTTTTTTTATGTTTACCATGACCATCGGACAACTTTGCTATAATATATACACATGGTGATAATGAATTATCGGCAGAATTGATCTTTCTTTTGATGGGAATAGGGCTAAGTTGTAGATGTACAAGGACCAGAGATTTCTACTGCAACCCAATCTAACGATATTATCAATATGTTGGTAAACTAATAAATACATCGCTTAATTAATCGTACAATAAATGGATGAGACAATCATCGAAAATCTGCACAACTATCAGCAAAAGCATATTGATATATTTTTGGACATAATTACCATATAATTGAATTCGCAATATACAAATGTATGTTTATTAAAATATATATTTTCACATAAACATTCATTCTGTCCGTTCATTCATTCATATCCTTTAATTATTCTTTTTGCGTATATTTTTTTAATAAAAATTTAATATCCAGTATATTACAGATGATGTTAGCGTTATTTTTTACAAAAAAAGTCTCGTCTATTTATTTATATTTACTGTATATAATTCTAATTATATAATTCTATAAAACAAATTAATAGTCAAAGCTCGTTATGGTGGACCTTTTTTTTTTATAATATTTTTATAATCAATTAACTGTCTCTCGTTATAGTAAAAAAAATAAAAAATAAAAAATAACCCCGATTTCAGTCAGTGTATTTAAAAAAATAAAATAGCTAATTAATAATCAACTTCGCTAACCCACAACTTCACAGTAGGATCAGGTCTAAAAGTAATATTCATTTTAGATGCAACTTTGAAACCTTCGACTTCATGGAACCGGAAATTTCTTAGTAAATTGCACAAGATAATTTTCACTTCATTTAATGCAAGCTTACTAGCAATACATGATTTTGGCCCGGCTGAAAATGGTAGATAATTGTAATGAGAAAGACCTTTGACTTTTTCTGTAAACCAACGTGATGGATTAAATTTTTCAACATCATCACCCCAAATTGATGCCAAATGATGAATTTGATAAGTTGGTATGAAAATTGGCGTGCCCTAAATTAATTTATTAATATCAATAATGTTAATAATGTTATAAAAATAATAATGTTATAAAGATAATAATGGATGCACTAAATAAAATAATACCTTTGGAATAAGATATTCATCAATCATGACATCTTCATCTGCCGCACGAATCAAAAATAAGACTTTTATTATAATAAAAAAAAATATATAAATATATAAAAATGAATTTGTATTATATAATAATCATAACAATATTTCTTATCCATTATAATAATATATACCTGGAGGGGCAATTCTGAGTGTTTCTTTACAAACCGCATTTAAATATTCCATGGAATTGATTTGATCAAAATTTAGCTCAGAATCCTTATCAGGAAATTCTTTAACAATTTCTTCTCTGAGTTTGTCCTGAATTTCTTGATCTTTAGACAAATAATACAATGCCCAAGTCATCATAACACCGGTTGTCTCATGTCCTGCTATCAAAAATGTCATAATCTTGAAAAAAATTTTTTTTTAGTTAAAAAACAATAATGATAATTATAAAAAAATCATTTCCTTCATTTCCTTTGTAATAACAATTACCTGATTTCTTATTTCTTCAAAACTCATTTGTTCACTTGGATCTATTTCCTGTCCATAACTAGCTTTCACCAAAACACTTACCAAATCATTGCTATCTAATTTACCTTCTTTAAATTTATCAAATTTATCTTGAACTAATTTCCTTGTAATTTTTTCAATTTCAATTGTAGCATCTTCGATTTCTTGATTTATTTTTAATGGCAGCGATCTCAATATGGGAAAAATAAATGATAGTGAATGAAACACTGACCCATGTTTATTATCAAAAAGAGCACTTAATGAGTCTGCAAGTCTTGATGTTCCTGTCAAAGAATTTATTTCAGAATCAAATCCTGAATATCAAATAATTAATTGTGTTAATATTGATTTTAATTGCATTATTTTATTGTCTGTTTGATTCTATTATAAAACCATTTACCAGTTATGCAGATAACATCCAAAGATGCTCTTCCCATATAATGACCAACATCAATTATTGCACTTTTTTTATCAATATCATTATTAATATTTTGACTATTATTTATTTCATATTTCCATAGATCTTTCAATGTATTAGAAACCCTTATAAATACTGGAATCATATCCTAAATAAATAATATCAATATTAATATTAATGTAACTAGTCACACAGACAAACCCGCTGTTAATGTAAATATAAATATTTTTATTTACCCTAATATTATTAATACCGAATGATGGATTCATCAGTTTACGTTGTCTCTTGTGCACATCACCATTTACCATTGAAATACCTTCTCCAAGAATCCTCTTTAAATATCCCAGATTTGGTATTGTTTTACTAAATTTAGTATATGCGTCATTAACAAGTACTTTTTGAACATTTTTTTCGTCAAGAATATAAACCCTTGGTTCATTGAATAATCCATAACACCTATATACATTGCCATATTTTTCTGCCCACTCCATTCCACCCTTATTATATTAAATATGATAATACAGAGGTCAATTTTTTTTATTTTTATATAAACATAGTTATATATATATATCATGCTCTCACCGTAGGTTTAATCATTTCCCAGAAATTTCCTAACAGAAAATGATCAGGAGAAGGTCCAGGCATTTTAGATAAAGGCGATAAATATAATGGATAAATTATCCATTTATAAGTATAATAGCCGATGATTAATGTCGCGACAACTAAATACGCAGTCGTGTTTTCGATTATTGCCATTTATTACTATCGTTGTTGATGTTATTATTATTGTTATTTTGTAAAATAAGAATTATTTATTATTATAATTATTGAATTAAATTTAAAATATTGAAAAGAAAAAAACATTCGCTATTTATCTAAAAAAAATTTACTATTACAAGAAATGTTTTCTTTTCGGGACCATATTTTATCCATGAAATTTAAATATTTGTTTCAGTTATGCGGTTAGAAAGAACTGTCACACATACTATAATATAAATATATAGGAATTCCGCAAACCAATTATAATACCATTACCATAGCTTTATGATGAATCTTCTTCCTCTTTATAAGCTTGATGATAAAATTTCGTACGGCCATAACCTTCTTTATGTGGATTGTTTATTGTTTAGAGAAAACGTGATAAGAGTTGTATCGATACACAAATAGGAAAAATAATGAATATTAATGGTATGTCATAAATAGGAAGACATAAGTTATGAACGTGGTATTTGATTGTGAAGAGGTATGCAAATATCTAAAGGTGAATATTCACAATTCGGCTATTCTTAATATTAATTGGCTTATTTTCGTACACATACATCAATTTCCAGGATCAGTTTATTGATATACCAAAAAATAATATATTACATGATAAAAATACAAAATTAATCTTGCAGTAGTGAGCATTTTGAGGTGGATGTGAAATAGCCTTTAGTACAAATTTGGTATAAATACATATCTTTGAAAATAAAGGAGTAATAGTAATTTGAAACATATAACCAATCAATATATTTGATTTTCTTAGAATCTCGTATATGCACCCCAAGAGTTTTTGTGCATTAGTATATTAAAAATTTGTTTGGTGGGTGTTGAGTATTCCATAACCTTTCATTATTATTATTTAGTAGTGATGTGAACTGGAAAAGGTGATAAAGAACTTTTTTTTCTTAACGTTCTGGAATTTTACTGCAGAATTCAATGACATAGATACATACTTGGCTGATATGAATCCATCCGCATTACACGGGATAACAAAAAAATTTACAATACTTGCAATAGGATAAAAAATAATAATAAAAAAAACAATAGTAATAGAGTTCTATCCATAGTATAAAAATCTTATCGTAATACAACTCAATGTTAATTCGATTCGAATTCAAATTATTCATTTTCTAGTTATTTGGAATGTTCGTTTTATTCGTATTTTAGTTTTTTATTTTTTTTTTATTATTTATTTATTAATAAACTTTCAATGTAATTCGAATACTCAAATTCATAATGAATGAATCAGGGCTGGCAGCGTAAAGGGGTTAACATATAACTAAACGGTTTAGTCGGTTTAGCCAAGCACTCATTTAGAGTCACACGACCAGCCTTAGAATAACCCTTATTCGAATAGAAACCCTAGTAACAGTGAAGCATTAAATAGTAATAACGGCACGAATTAGGAGATATAATAATAACAATAGTAGTAAATCATAGTAGTAATAATAATACTTCCAAGCTTAGTACTACCCGCGAAGTTTTTTCACCGACTGAGATTTGCTCATAAAAAAAAAGAAATAGACAGTAAAAATAATAACAAATTTTTAGTGAATTCATAAAAGGTATGTTATTTAGTAATTACTTGATAAAAAATTTATCCAAGTTCTTAGCTGGCTAAAAATTTTCCGCCAGCTTACATCACTATATTTAGTACTGAGGCGTAGATATACAGAATACAGAGCCTGGTGGTAAATTGACTAGTCTATTAAGAACTGATGGACTTTGGATTGGTCCATTACCATTAATTAAATACCAATTATGGATGGTTAAAATGTTACACTAATGGACCCAATGGACCACACATTTGCATACTTTTTACTATAAGAATATTGTAATAATAGTAATTATTTATTATTGTTAACGTTAACGTTAAAATTAAGAATAGATTAAAAGTCTGTGTTCAGTTTTTATAATGAAAAGTCATGTCTGTGTTCAGTTTACTATACCAATAAGGAAATTGTTTGCATAAAAAACTACAAACCTTTCTTACATATTTGTATATTAGCTTTAGTTTTATAAATATATCATTTTCTTTTTTTGAATGAATTTAAATAATTGGTGGAATTATGATTGACGTGTATTTTAAAAACGATAAACATTGTTATTTATGACGATCTTTATTTAAAAAAAAAATTATACGTATATGAAAGCTTGCAATAATTAAAAAAAATTTTATTTTCTGTTACACCCAAAACAGATAATCACATTTGTTACATCTCGAAGTTTGGATTCGGGGTATATTAATATATATAACTCCTTCGAGATGATAAAAATCGTGGTGTTTTTGATAACGGGTATTATTAGTATTATTATATAAAACCAAGTAACATTCTCTA